TGTAACTACAACAACAGTAACTATCCATTACCCATCTTTATGAATGAATGTAACTACAACAATAGTAACTATCCATTACCCATCTTTATGAACATAACTACAACAATAGTAACTATCCATTACCCATCTTTATTGTACAAGTTTTTCCAATTATTGTTTTGTATTGCAGGAGGAAGAAAAAGTGTGTCAGGTATTTGGATGGAACCGACTTTACAGAAAGTGAAGACAATCTTGGAAGTGTCAGCAGCATGGAAGCTCCCACCCCTGATTCAAAATGTGCAACCGAAAGTGATCAAGATGCGATTAACACTTCTTCTGAACTCAGTCCTTCAGTTCCTAGTGAAGTCAGTGTCAAACCAGAGCTGCATAAAAATGGCATCATGACGAGTACGTCAAGCGTGGTGTCACCGTATCCAACTAGTAGTTGTCACCATCTGTTGAGTGTTCAGCACTTGGCCACGCCTTATTACAAGAAAACCAATTTATCACAAGAGGACTGCAGCTTAGACACTTCCAGTATCCATATCACCCAGCTTCCGACCTCTCCTTCTTCAGACTCTTCGACTCCAGTGACATCCACTGCTGCACCTCCAATGTTAACTGTTAAGTGATCGGAAGTAATATTGTAAAAAGAAAAACTTATAGCATTGTTGTGTAGATAATTATTTTTGCTCGTTCGAGGCGTTGTCGTATGTGTATGTTGTTTATAGAAAAATGTTATTCATGGTGTACACTTCAGGACTGGATGTCAGCAGTTAAACAAGCAGTGTCTTTATCCATTGACATTAGGTTTAATGTAACACTTCAGGACTGGATGTCAGCAGTTAAACAAGCAGTGTCTTTATCCATTGACATTAGGTTTAATGTAACACTTCAGGACTGGATGTCAGCAGTTAAACAAGCAGTGTCTTTATCCATTAACATTAGGTTTAATGTAACACTTCAGGACTGGATGTCAGCAGTTAAACAAGCAGTGTCTTTATCCATTGACATTAGGTTTAATGTAACACTTCAGGACTGGATGTCAGCAGTTAAACAAGCAGTGTCTTTATCCATTGACATTAGGTTTAATGTAACACTTCAGGACTGGATGT